GCTCGTTGCATGAGTTAGCTGTTTGAAACCTGGGACTTATGCAGGGACGCTTGGCTCAATCTGGGAGGAGGGGACCGGACCTGCCTGGACTGGGTCTATCATGTCGATCCCAGTCCTCGGGGGAGACTTTGATCTGAAGGAGGTGGGAATGGGGGGTGGGCTCGGGGGAAGGGGAGGGGGGCAGGAAGGGGGAGAACAAGGGAATCTGTGGCTGTTATGTAGAACTAAATAGTATTGGAAAATAAAATTAAAAAAATAATATTTTTGAGCTGGGCGGTGGTGGTGCACGCCTTTAATCTCAGCACTCGAGTGGCAGAGCCAGGCGGATCTTTGTGAGCTCGAGTCCAGCCTGGTCTACAGAGCGAGAGCCAGGAAAGACACAAAGCTACACAGAGAAACCCTGTCTTGAAAAACAAAAAAAATTTAAAAAAAAAGAATATTTTTGAAAGAGTAACCATTCTGTTAATGTAATTATTATTTTGCTGCAATTGTTTTTTTAACATGTTCATTGAGATACTTTATATACTTAGAATTACCCATTTAAAAATGTAAAATTCCGTGGCTTTTGCCCAGCCATTAATAATGTGTGAAAGACTTCAACATCCGACATCCTTGCCTATTAGTTCTTACTCCCTCAGCTATGTGCAACCAGAAATTTAATTTTGATCTGTATGGACTTAATAGTTCTGCAAGTATCACATAAATAGAACCATAAAGCGTTTGATTTGGGGTTAATGGTTCCTTTGGTTACCATGCTTTTGAATTTCATCTATGCTGCATCACGTAGTAAGTCATTGGGGAATACAGCATCCATTTTTATATTGTCAAGTAATATTCCATTGTATAGCTAGAACCACATTTTTGCTTCATAAATCATGTGGTGTATATTTTACATGTATCCGTCTTTGTTTATCATGCATAATACTATGAGTGCCAAGGTACATTTTTGTTTGAACACCTGTCTTCATATATTTTGTTTGAACACCTTTGCATATATATGCAGATGTGGTTTGTGTGGTAGTTCCGTTTAACAATTTGAGTAACTACCAAATATTTTCAAATTATCTTTACTATTTTATATTCCCACTAGCAGCAAATAAACTTGGTAAATTCTCTAATGCTGGGGAAATGTTTGTTATTTTATCTTTCTTTTTATTATAGCCATTGTAGGTGCTAGTATATGGCATCTCATTAGAGCTATGGCTTACATTTCTTTAGTGGCAAAATATGTGGAGCATCCTTCTATACAGTTATGGCTGTATGTATATCTTTTTTGGAAAAACGTCTTTTCCAGTCCTCTGTTTAATTTTGATGTCTTTATTCTTGGATTATAATAATTCCTTCTATAATAAGATTACTTGTCTATCATTGTAGACATGATCTGAAATGTTATTTTTCCATTCCATGGGTTTTTAATTTTCATTTCTTGAAGGTGGATATTTGAAGTTCAAGTCTTTAATTTTAAGTCAGTCAGTTTACATATGTTGATCTTTTATTTCTTTCGCTATTGCTATTATAACTAAGGGGACAATACTAAACCAAGTTCATGATGATACTATTTCTATACTTTCATGGAATACTTTTATGTTGTGCTTTGAACACTTATATGTGTGATATGTTTTGAGTTAATTTTTCTGTATGAGAGAAGGTAAGAATTCAAGGCCATTTTATTTTGCATGTGGATTTTCAGTTGTCCAAGCACCATTTGCAAAAAAAAAAAACCTTTTTATTCCTAATAGAATTTTCCTGACTTTTGTTAAAGCTGAGGTAACAATAAGTATATATTTTTAAAAGTTATTCCTACAAGTTATGTAATTATGTAGCATTATGTTTTATTATGGTGTTCAAGAAACTGAATGCTGTGTAGTGTGGAATGATCAAGCTAATTAATATAACTATCACCTTAAAATTCATTCTTCCGGCATAACTGTAACATCACTGTTTTCCCCAGATCTTTCTTGCCATGCCTTCCACCACCACCTCCCAGCCTCTGGTAACAGCCATTCTCCTGCAGGCCTATGCATTTGATTGTTTTAGATCCACATATAATTGAAAACACGCAGTGCATTGTTTTCCGTACCTGCTTTCTTTCCCTCAGCTCATCCATGCTAATGAGAATGACAGTTTCCTTCTTTTTAAAGACTGAATAGTATTGCATTGTGTATACACAACACATTCTCTTTATCTGTTTATTCATTGATGGGTGCATAGATTGGTTCCATTACTTAGCTACTGTAACTAATGCTACAGGTTATAGTATATTTCTGAATAATTAATCTTATTTCCCTGTCAGTGTGCTACATGTGTACATATGACACTACTTCACTATTTCTGGGGTTTCTTATTCAATTTAACTTTTTTCCGGTATTCCTGAAAGATTTTTTTGTGAACTAATGGGGAAAATATTACAAAGTAAAATCTTTTATTTTATTATTAATTACATTTATTTATTTATTTTGCATCCCAATCAATTTCCCCTCCCTTCTCCCCTCCTATTTCCTCTTCCCACCTCCCTCTTCCTCCCCCCCAATCCACTCCTCCTCTGTTTCTGTTCAGGAAGTGGCAGGCCTCCCGTGGATATCAACAAAATATGGCATAAAAAGTTGTGGTAGGGCTAAGCACCTCCCCTTGTATAAAGGCTGGGCGAGGCAAC